ATACCTCAAAAAGTCAAAATACTTTGAAAATTTAACCATGTATAGACAACGCTAATGTAAAAATTTAGTGAAAATTTCAAGTATTTAGAGTTTTATTTTTTGAGTTACAGTAAAATAAAATTATAGATTTTGTCGAAAACTAGTTTTGCGTAAAAATTCAAGTTTTTCCGTAACTTTTTTAGGGTTTTTCCTGATGCTCTTGAAAAGTATTGGACATTTCTTACTTTTGACCTCTATAATGCACCAATGGCATTCACTTTCCTATCAGAAACGGGGCTGAGTCTAAAAATCGAAAACTATCCAAAACCTTGTTGACAGACACAAAAAAAAAAGAAAATTAAAAAAACACACATCATTGTAAAATCAATACATGCACTATTCCGTTCAGAATCTAAAATATATGACCCACCACCAATTACAGCGAGTGTTGTTAACGATGAACATAGCTTAGTGACTATTTTAACTGGTGAAAAGTCCCTCGGTCATAAACAATAATTGAAAACGTCCACTAACGGTGACATAAAAGTCTCGGCATAGGATGAACACCAGTTTAGATGAAGTTTAAAATCCTTGAAAATGATAAAATTAAGTTTCATAGATATCAATAAAGAGCTAAAAAAAAAATTTCGTGTTGTTATACATGGATTACATCCAGAAACTAACATGTGTAAAATTGAAAGAGGACTAGCTGACAAAGGGTTATCTACATGCGATGTCTAAAACATTCAAATTAAAAAAAGCTAGATGCTATAGATTAAGATAACAAAAATAATAAAGATATATACAAATTAAAGAGTCTATGTTATTATAAAATTAAAATAAAACCACCAAAAAAGAAAAGAAAAAACATAGTTTAAAAACTGTCAGTCGGTTTTTGGTCATACACAAAACTATTATTACAAAAAACCCGTATGTGTAAAATGCAACACAGAAGAGAAGACAGCCAAAAGTTAACAAAATCAAAACCCTAAAAAGCTGATTGCGGTAAAGTTCATACTGCAAACTAGATGAGTTGCTCTGCTTACAAAAATCAGAAGAAAAAGCCCATCATAAAAATGTTTCTGCAGTACAATGTTTAAACAAAAATCAGCGAAAAATATCACAGCGGCCATATCTTACGCTCAGATGACTAGCTTACCCAACTTTTACGTAACACCCAAAACATCCAAACGACATCAACAATCCAATGAAAACGAATCCATGTTAATAGATATTTTATCTGCTTTAACTAATTTGAAAACATCGCTAGAAAATATCACATTTAGACTAGATAGATTAGAAAGTAATCAATCTAAGTCCAACAATAAAAATCAAAAGAAAAAGTAATGAATCACCCATTGCGAATCATAGCATGAAACGCCAACGGGCTAGTACAATGAAAACCAGAACCTAACCTAACCTAACCAGAACTTGAAGATTTCTTGCACAATGAAAACATCGATATTGCTCTAAAATCATAAACACACTTTACTGTTTTAAAAATTAGAAAGTATACTTAACCTCTCACACAGCTGGTGCGTTTTCTTAGAATCGTATCTTATTGAGAGAAAATGTAGAGTTATGCATGAAGATATGCTAAAAAATTGGAAAAAAAAATTCAGAAGGGGTAGTTAAAAGGACCTATTCTCTATCTGCTTTACACAGCTGACATTCGAACAAATTGTAACTCAATGACAGTTATGATTACTGATGACACTGAAATTTCAGCAACAAGCATTGACCAATAGACTACGGCTGAAAACGTATGGATATCAATCAATCAGATCTTAGGAGTTGAGGATTGGAAAGAAGTAGCCTAAGACAGTTCACGAAGGGTAGTAATGGAAGCAAAAACTTTTAGTTTTTATACTTTTAGAGAGTATAGAGATGCCAGAAGAATAAAAATAAATACGTTTTATTTTTATTATATTCTTTGTATAGGTGTATAGTACTTGATACCCACAGTAAACAGAATCAGTGCAGTTACATGTATTATTATATATAATATCAATTACTGTATCTTGTTTTACCCTTTGTATTTATGTGTTTGTTTGTAATTGTTGCGCTTACAACCCTTTATAGGTTAGTAATAAATTTAATTTGTGCCACTTTGATTAGACAGTAATGTTTATCAACAATATACCTACCTGTGTGTATTTATATACACATGTTGAACAAAATTGTTTATGAAAATTATAATGTGTGGACACTAATTTGACATTGTGCCTTTAAAGGATAGCAAAATAAATGTCAAAAAACAACGTGCGCCGCATAAGCATAACCCTTATATTTACCCTATAATTGTTTTCACTAGCTAAGCTTTTCGGTACACTCCACGTAGTATCACCAATTCCATCTTGCGTGACACAATGTACTACATAGGCTTAACTATTTTTCGTCAGTAAAAAAACCCAAAACAAAAAAAAAACATTGACAATACGTTTTTTTATTGTTGTCACGAATCATCAGCTGATATTTTTAATCACAAACAAAGACACAGACATACATTTTCAAGCTGAAATAAATAAAATGCTAATCGTTTGATTGAAAATTATTTATCATAATTTATTATAAACAATTTAAGTTCTTAATTATTATTTATTATTACATATTTAACATTACAAATTGTATCAATAAAGTGTCGTACACACGAATGTATTCTAAATAGGTGTATATAATTATATATAGGTTCATTATATTATGTGAGTGATTGAGTAATAATTGCATCTGATAAAAAAAAAAAATAGTTTACATAGATAGGTAATACTGTTATTTTTTATTAAATACAAATTTGAAATTAACTATTAATTTGTTTTAAGATTTCGACACACATAAATAGGTACATGATGCAGATTTCTATGGTAACTTTTCATAATTGACTATAATAATTTAAAAGACTCTCAAAATGTTGGTGGAAATAACATTAATTATTTGATCTTATTAAATACTTAATATTTGTTGTAATATAACTCACTGTCATGGTTAACATTCGAAAAAAAATAGATGTTCAACTCAGTTTTCATTATTTTTTTTTTTAACAAGGGACAATTTATTATATTTATATTATCCAATAAAAAAAAAAAACACACAATATCTCATTTATATTTTGTATGACGTGTTAATTAACTAAATTTTGCTAGAAAGAAGTAACATTATTACGTACACGTATCGTTAAAAAAACTAATTGAGAAAAGGTAATTGGAATAATCTTAGATGTGCAGTATAAGTTAATTTAAGTTAAGATCATCAACAACGTCGAAGAAATTGATTGACAAATTTTAGTTATGTAATTTATTTACACTATTTAGTATTTACTATGCACTGAACTAAAAACATTTTGAAACAAGATAATATTATATTCATTATCATTGAAATCATATACCTTCATTGCAATCTATAATATAAGGTTCACTTATTGTAATTAAAATATTATCGCAGTGTATCGGATATAAATGTTTGATATAATGTTGTATGATATAAATAATGATTTATTTATTTTTATCAACCATTAAAACTAAATACTTAGTCTTGATTACTTGTACCTATATTAAAATAGAATAGGTATATAATATTACGATATATTATATAAACCTATAACATACCTATCAAGTGAGTAATTGAGATGTATTCCACGATTTTATAGAATATTATAAATAATGGCTTTGGTTGATTTAAAAGGATTCAACATGATAATATTTATTATATACATATACAAGTTATATGTGGAGTTTTGATTCTCTCTAAATAAAAGATACCGTTAAACGTATACACATTTTATGATTTTCATAATGGCTTAATATCCATAATATCATTATGTAGTGTGAATTCGATTATTATTATATCTATTTGAATATATAAATGTATTTATTCCTATTAAATGAACAAACGATAATCTGGGGTATCAAATATCATGTCAGAAGCCCTCCATCTAGAGAGCATAAGTCACATAATGACCTTTTTAATTAAGACCAACCTTATGAATAGTTTATAATCTGTATTTTGTTTATGTAAATACTATAAATACTAAGAAAATATTAACCTTATGAATGTATTGATTTTACAATGATGTGTGTTTTCTTAATTTAATTTAATTTTTTCATTTTTGTGTGTCAAAATAATGCTTCAATTTTCAATTAGTATCTTTTCCAGTGGGAAACTGAATCTGGTTGGTGCATTCACGAGGTAAAAATTTAAAATTTCCTGCAGTTTTAAAAAAGCACCAAGTAAAAAATATCTCTTCATAGAATTTTTTTTCGTATAAGACTATAATAGGTATACATTGAAACCAAATTTAATACTATCCATGAAAGTGGCTCACTTGTAACCTACTGTTTAGCAGAGTTTCGCCCACTTTTAAATACGAAAATATAATAAACTGAATACTAAAGTAATCAATATAAGTAAGTATTAAAAAGTATAAAACGTAATACAATTATTCTTATGAACATTGATTTAAATTTTTATTGTATATAAGCATCTTCAACTAAAATGAATTWAATTWCCATTTTTTWGGTAATAGATATGTACAAATAAATTAATGGAACTGACTAATGGATTGATAAGTAAACTAATAACATAATAATATTATTTCATTTATTGAATAGTTAACCTAACGATTATTACAAAAAATGGAAACGAAAAAAAGATAATTGGATCTTGTTTGGTGGCCTGAAATCTAAATATTAGGGAAGATAATAACTCATTTGAACAGTTTTCCAAGCATTGCAAAGTTTTGTGTAAAAAGAAAAATAATAATGAAGTTTTAATTCAATGTATTTATGGGATGGTTATTAACTTATTATCTCACCAATATCAATATATTTTTTGAGTGGCCAAGTTGAATACTATTTCCTATCATTATAAAAGTATACGGTGGTTTGATGACTTAATATTATTTAGTAAGAAGTTGACATAGTAAACACACATAAAAACTGTTAAATATCGTTTTATCTGATTAATTGATATTTATTCATTTTTTCATAGTTGTAAAAGTTGTGTTCAATGTGTAATAAATAACTTACCGGTCTCTGTTGCAGATTTTGGACTGTGCAATATAGAAACGTGCTTTCGCCCAATCTAGCAGTCACGTTGGACATTTCTGGACCCTCAAATACTGGAGGCGATATTGGTTGTTGGATTTTAGTGGAATTTCTTCGTCTTGTATGTGGAGGTGTCTTAATTTTTGGCACAATAGATGTTGTTGGTTGTACTAATTCTGGATCCAACACAGTCTCTAATAATAAGAAAAAAATGCAAACCTTAATATTAAAGTAGTAATTAATATTTTACAAGCGTAATTATACATAATAATATAATTGCAAATATTTAAAACGTATTAAACATATTAAATATATTAAATCAATAAGAGTATCTTTAACTTGAAACTATAATTATAGGCGAAACACCAAATGTATTAAAAATATAAATTTACACAAATGAGTTTGAAAATATCTTTTTTGATAATATATCATTTTAACGCATTTATATTTCTCAAATTCGACAGTAGCTATAATTATGCATTTTTATAATTTKTATTATGCATATTGCTATGCATATCTGTTTTAATACTTATTTTAAATAATAAACTGTATTCAATAAACACAGAGCATACATCATTATAATACAGTTCAATATTATTTTTTTTTTATAATCATAAAAAAATAATTTGTAGAGTGGTGTGGCTTAGTGTTTGACTTCTGTCATAGATGTGTTTCAAGTACCAGTACCGACCCGCATCAGTAGTTGCCGGTTCTTAGTAATAAATCCTTAGCAAACATACATGTGTGTTCCAAATCAACTGTACCCTCCCCTACGCTGTAAAAGCCGGCTAATAACCATGAAATTAATGCCATATTAAAATTATAATTATAATTATTTATGTGAATAAGATCATAAATATTTATAAAAAAAGTTCATTGCGATATATTATATTATTTCTCATCCACTCCCAAATGTTGTCACCGTTGATTTGTAAGATTGTTTAATTAAGTATTGGTTAAATTATTTGCATTGCAAGTAAAATTCTTAAAAGGTCCTTCTGTAAATAAAATATTAATATACACCCATAGGCCATACAAGTATTATATGTATAATAATTAGCTATATAGTATGAAGGTGTTCAGATGTTTTGAAGCTGAATGGACATGTTTTGTCAATTAAATTAAATTATGTACTTTAAAGAATATCAAAAGATTGGCATAAGTTGAAAGAAAAAACTTTAAAAGAACAACTCATTAGAGTAAAACTACAAGATGCTTATACTTACTTAATGCTTATAATGCAAAATATGAACCAATAAATTCAAAATGTAAAACTTTAGGTAGAGACTGAATTATTGAATTCATGAATAAATATAATATGATATTTTTAATTGAATTAGGTACTTGTATGAATAAATAATCATTATAAATCATCAAATTTAAGGAGAATTATTAATCAATAACTACACTAGGATTATATTTAAAATATTTTAATTTTCCAATTTTCGATTATTTGATATTGCAAATAACTATTATATAATATTTTTAATTGAAGCCTGTAAGTAATAAATTTATTTTAAATTAAACACTATTATAATTATCGAGACTCATTAAGCATATTTTTTGTGTAAATATTTACAAAACAGGTCATGCAAATTACATAATATAATGTAATTTTGCGTACAAAAGTGAATATATAAAAAACATAGTAATTTATAACTGTCATCAATATCAAATAGGTACAATTTAAATTATATAATCCTATAATGAATTAAATAAAACAGAAGTTAGAAATGTTATAGGTTTTCAGTAAAAATCAGTTCTCCCGTTTCATATTATAAAATATCCGGAAAATGGTAAAGTGATAAATTTAACTTATTAATCATAAGTCATGACTATACATGTTTGTCCATATTTGTGATATAATAATATTAAATATTCATTATAATCAAAGGTTATCTAGGTAACATCTTCTGACATCTTATCGTATCTAGATAAATATTGTTTATGTTAGCTTATGCTAATCTAAGATAAAATAAAATAATATCTAGATAAATTTATCTATAGATAAATATTTGATCAGAAGTGCAAAAATCCGTCAACAATACGAGTATATTGAATCGTTATATTAAAAAATTGGCAATTTAAATAAATAAAACACGGGGTAACCATACGTATACATAAGTGAATCATTTTGATAGAGAATGCTTAAAGTGACCAATTGAAAAGCATTATACTATTGTCCCAAACAGTTATATCCCTTACCCAATCTGATCACTGATAACACACCGTTATCATAATTTAAATTTATTTCAATGTTATCGTTATATCGGTGCTAAGTCTTGAATTTAATATTGTTAATAATATAAATTGTTAATTACTGATTTGAAAAAAATTTAATTTACCTATTTTATTTTTTAGATGATAACGGTTAGAATTTATTTTATCTAGATTAAAAAAAATATTATCTTTATATAACTCTAGATAGTTTTTTAAAACTTATCTGTATGTTATCTAGATATTTTTTTGTTATCTGGACTCAACACTGATTATAATACCTATATTTTTATATTTAAACTTTAAAGGGAATCATTTATACTTATCTATAACTTCACGTAGAAGATTTATATTATAAATGAATACCAAACAATTTTTTTAATTTAGGTTAATATTACATTATTATAGAACAATACATATATACATTATACTTGCATGGTACCTATTATTATAACAACAAACTTTGGTAGGTATTAAGCAAAAGAATACTTGTCAAACTTAATAATAATTTTGAATAAGTGGGTATACAGAAATCTTTGAGATATTGTAACAATCTAAATAAACAAAGACAGAAATGTCGTATGTACTGAAAAAATATTACCAACCATATTATTATACTTGTGCATATAATGTTTGTCTGTGGTAGATTATACTTATATCACAAACATAATAAGAAAGTTAGATATAATCGTTTTTAGAATTCAAAGAAATATCCTCATACAAAGATTAATAAATCAAATTCGACTTATATTATGTTAAAAACTAGTCTGTTGATTATTAAAACAATATTAAAAACAATAATAAATAAATATTAAACAATTACTGATGTGCATACATATTAAGATAGGACTTATAATTTAGACCCAATGTATTCTATTCATGAACAAAAGATTGAATAAAATCTTCCCAATTTGAAAAAATATAATATTCAATGCTACAAGATATTTATATTGTTGTAATATRTATTTCAAGTTATTTTTATTTTTGAATAAATATCAAATATTCAAATATTTTAGTATAAAAGTTGTTTCTATGACGGAAATAAGACACTTAAATAACTCTTTTACATTCGCATTACAGTTAGTTTTTAGTTAACACATTATAAAAATACTAAACACTTTTAATAAAACAAAATATTGAAAATTTTTGGAATTTTTAAAATTTAAATGTAAAATACACTATAGTAAATGTAATAATTGGTATAAAGAATAGACAATGCATGATTTTAATTTTAATGTATAATCTTGTTTAACACATTTACCGTCATTAGCTCTTGTATGAGATCTCACCAGTTTACTCCCTGCCGACAAAGGGGGTTTTACTTGGCAACAGTTTTGACGATTTAAACAAATATTGATAAAAAAAAACAACTAAAAATGGTATCTGCAAGCTTGTTACACCATCTGAAAGTGACAACACTGTACTTTTCAAATCCGACAAAAAGTACCGAATATTGAGACTCCGTATGAGATCTCACCAAAAAATCGATTTCGGTGAGATCTCATATGGAGTCTCGATATTCAGTACTAGTAATTGTTTTGAGATCTCAAATAAAATCTCATGGCGGTTATGAGTTACAAAACAAAAAAAAAACGGTGGCGGTCAACGAGTTAAGTTAATTAATTAAAATTACTTTGTGGATAAATAAATAAATGGCTACAAGGGTTTAATATATGATTGAAATAAACTATGACATTAGTGAAAGATGAAACAATTCTAAATAATAGTGCTGTCCATACTAATAATTGATCCAAAAACAAAGGCATTACGCAAGTATTATTATTTTTTTTTACAATAACTTTTTCATTTTTTTATCTGTATTAAAAATTAATGTAGATTTTTATATATATTTTAGGGAAGTGAATGTACCCATACTTTAAGTATTAAACTATAAGCATATGCATGGAATTGGATATTGTTAATATATTTATTATGTAGGCAATAGGTAGGTAAATTAGAGTTTGAATTGCAAACATTTTCAAACTGTACATACACGTGATTCAATTTTAATTAAAATAAAATAATAATTATATACCAATTAAAATGAAGTTTATATATACAATAATAATTACTTTTAAAAGCTATGTAATAAACATAAACTAAACTATTCACCAATGTAATTTACTCAATAGAGGATTTATCATKACATGGATATTGAATAATGACAGAGTATCCACATTTCCCACAACTATAACGAAAAAATTACTACTAAACCTATACTTCAACTACTTAATATCAATTAAAACATAATCGTAATTAAAAATGCATAAGTGTTTTGAAGTTTTTAATTAATATTTTCAAATTATAATTGTTATTAGTCTATTTATAAAAAAAATCCTTCGTTGTTTTTGTAAAGAAATTCAATAAAATAATATTTATTTTATATGAACTGGATTATCATAATGATAATTAAAACATAATATTTTGAATAAAAACATCATCTAAAATAATCCAGGTAACGTAAAACACTGATAATACAAAACTATTATATTATAGTAAGAATTCGGAGCAGGTAATACTACGTAAGTATAGTGTGGTATAAGTCCAAGCTTTGTATACAATTCTGATTATAAATAACATAAAATGAATTTTTTATCAAATGCAAATATGCAATCCCTGATTTAGAATTTTTGATATATTTTATAAACAAAAATGTTGCATTGCTCTTTATTAATTAGATGGAAAATTGCAAAAACATCAAATGAATATTGATTTCAATAATTTTATGTGAAATATACCTATATTCCATAAATAATGTAACATTAACTTTAAAAAAATTTACAGAAAGTACTATATTATATTATTACCATATCTTGTGCAATAGAACGATTAGTTAATTATAATAGTATTTTTTGACAACACATCAATTTAACATAAAAAAATTATGATTATAATAATTATATTAAATCGCAAACATATTAAAGAAGTTGAAAATATACTTCACGATAATTTATTTTTACTTAATTCACTATTTACA